GCGGGGGCGCCGCGTTGGCCCCGCTTTCGGGAGTCTGGCGGTGGCTGGTCTCTGCCGTGGGCCCTGTCCCCCTTTATAGGGGCCCCTCCCCCAGAAGGACCCCTTCCTGTCCCGGAGGCCCTGGGCGACAAAGGCCCCCGGGGTCCCAGCGCTCCCCCTTTCCCCCCGCCTCGTAGGACAAAATTAATTTCAGTTAAGTTAAGGCCCCTGGGATGGGGGTGACCCTGGATTCCCCGGAGTACCCCGTGTCCTCACAGAGTCCTCATCAGAGGGAGGCGGGAGGTCAGAGTCAGAGAGAGACGGGGGATGCTGCGCTGCTGGCGGTGAGGATGGAGGGGGTCCACGAGCCAGGGATGCGGCGCCTCTGGAAGCTGGAAGAGGCAGGACCCGATTCTCCCTGGAGCCTCCGGAGGGACCAGCCCCGCCCAGGCCTGGGTTTTAGTCCTGTGAGACCCGAGTCGGACTCCGGACCTCCAGAACTGTGAGTTGATAAGCCTGTGTTGTTTCAAACCACTCTGGTGATGATTTGTTACAGCCGCCCCAGGGGACTCACACATGGAGTCGGGGGAATGTCCAAGGTCTTGATGGGCTGAGGGTGACTTCGGTGTGTGCATTTGACAAAACCCATCTGATGTGCCAGTGGGACTTGTATATTTCACTCTAGCAAATTTCATCCAGACATTCAAGACACCCACATGTATTGATCCCTGGTGAACGACGTGCCTGCTGGAGGGGCTGGATGTCTGTAGTAGACTTTGAAATGAAATCTTAAAATTAAGACGGGTAGACAGAGGCCACACAAATCAAACACAGCAAAATATGCTTGTAGACTCTAGGCACCAGAGGTGCAGGCCTTCTCTATAAAGTTCCCTCGACCTTCTGTATTTTTTAAAAAGTTCGTCATAGGAGGGAGGGTATAGCGCAGTGGTGGAGCACGTGCTTAGCATGCAGGGGGTCCTGAGTTCAATACCCAGCACCTCCATTAAAATCAGTAAATAAATAACCTAATTACCTCCCCATAAAAATTTTTTTAATTAAAAGTTCATCATAAAATGCTAAAAAGTAAACACAAAAGGGGCCAAACTTCCTTTCACCACATCCAGGGTCATTTTGAACAAATAGCAAGAAAATGGAAGTAAATGAGGCACAACCACTTTTCCTGGGTCTGGCACAGCCCTGGGTGAGAACCAGGCTAAAGGGCAGCCTCAAATGGCTGGATTTGGCCTCAAATCGGCACACACATCTGCTGCTGCACGATAAAGCGTGGGACAGCCAGATGTGCTCCTGGCATCAACATGACAGCCCTGTCAACGCGCCCTAGCCGAGGACTGGAGGAGGTGGTGGCGGCAGAAATGCTCAGGCTTAGATGTGGGCTACTTTTTATCTTGCTTATATTTTTTATTTGTTACAGTCCTTGATGCACGTTTTAGTGTTTTTCTTGGTCATTCAAATGCTTCAGCAGAGGTGTTGTTATGGAAAACGGAAGGTGACACCTGAACACAAGTGCCCTGCGTGTGAGGTCCTGCCCTCCTTTGCTCATACCTCTCTCTCCTCCACGTTTTTTCTTTGCATTTATAGAATTTTTGCTGCTAAATTTAAGAGCAGTGATGCTCATTGAGGAAGCTAAATTTATACACCATATTTCTTTTTGTTTGTTTGCTTTTGTTTTTTGGGGGGGAATAATTAGATGGATTGATCCATTATTTTTTTAATGGAGGTAAGGACCTCATGCATGCTAAGCACACTGCCACTGAGGTATACCCTCCCCTCCATCCAAGAAATATTTTTTAATTGCTTTTTTTTTTAAGTATAGTCTGTTACAATGTGTCAATTTCTGGTGTACAGCGCACTGTCCCAGTCATGCATATGCACACATATATTCGTTTTCATATTCTTTTTCATTAAGGTTATTACAAGATATTGAATATAGTTCTCTGTGCTATACAGAAGAAATTTTTTTTCAAATTGAGTTTTATAGATAGTGGCTAACATTTGCAAACCTGAAACTCCCAAAGGATATATATCTCTTACTAGACTTTATTTAATACTTGCGGCTATACTATATGTGTGTATAGAATATTATGCATTATATACACTTAAAATGATACCTGAAGTAAAATAAAATGCCCTCTATATTTGTAAACATACAGATACGTTTTGTTGTACCTAATGTCATAGTATTTATCTATATATTTTATTTATTCTGTGTATTACATTTACATGATAATAATTAATACTGTATTGTATAATATATGTTGACTCTGTCTATCTGCAGCCTTCTTTTGGAACCCCAGATATTTTTTGCAGCTTTATTCAGATAAAATTCACATACCATACAACTCACCCATTTAAAGTGTACAATTCAATCATTTGTAGTACATTCGCAGATACGTACACCCATCACCACAAGTCAATTTTAGAGCATTCTTCTTATCACCTCAAAAAGAAACCCTGTCCCCGTAGCTGTTACCCACCCAGCCCAACGACCAGGAGCCCCCTCCCTGTGTCTGGGGACTGGCCTGTTCTGGACGTTTCACATCCGTGGACTCACACACTGTGTGTCCTTCTGTGCCTGCTTCTCTCACTGAGCGTCGTGCTCTCAGGGTCCGTCCCCATGGGAGCGGGTGTCAGGGCTGCTCTGCTTTTCGTGACTGAGTGACGGTCCCGTGTGTGGAGAGACCGTGTGTGTGTATCCATTCATGAATCTGTCAAAGGACATTTGGGCTGTTTCCACCTTTTGGCTGCTGTGGACATGCATGTACAAAAATCTATTCAAGTGCCTGCTTTCGACTCCTTTGGGCGTACACGTAGGCGTGGAATCGCTGTCATACGGAGATTCTATGTTTAGCTTTTTGAGGCACGGCCAAACCATAATATACTCTTAAGAGAAAAAAAATGTAGGTGACAAAACAAGACGTGCAGACGTTCTCTAAGGAGCCAGTCTCGTAAAAATAAACATGTAAATAGCACTGAGACACAAGGAGACAGAAGCCCCGAGGAAAGCCCCCCGGGGTGGTAGGCAGCGTCTGGCGGCGGACGGGAGCAGGTGGGTGTTCTGAAAGCCGTCCTCTTTGGGCTCGTCTATGCCTCTGTGCGTTCGGAGCCTGCCTGCCTGAAGAAGAAGAGAAGGAGTTGTTTTCGAGGAGGAAGGGGGCCAGGGAGCTGCTGGCCTCAGGCCTGCGGGCGCCTCCTTATTTTCTCAGGATTGTTACTGGTTGTGACTCACGGACAGAATACACTTCCTCTTTCTCCTCAGGGGGCCCCAAAGTGGCCCTTGCTCTCCAGCTGCCAACACCTGGCTGCAGGCCTTAGAATGTTCTATTGAAGGTTGAGCCCCCAGAGTAGGGGAGCTGGGCTTCTCTGCACCACCACGGCAGGTGGGAATGAAGAATCAGGGTGTATGAGTTTCTTGCAGCTGCCCTAACAGGTGCCTGCGCACTGAGTGGCCTAAGTCGCTAGGAATCTGTTCTCAAATGTTCTGGAGGCCAGAGTCTGAA